TACAAATGACGGTGAAGGTGATGGGATCAACTTACGAGTAATCTTCGAAATGTTGCAGGCTCAACAAGCAGTGATAGCCCAGTTGCAAAACCAGAGCTGCGCCCCCAGCAAAGTCGAGCCCGAACCATCCACGAAAAATGCTCGTATAAATGAACCAATCATGGAAAGGCAGAGTGAAGCATTTGTTTAGTTGTTTTATTCGTTATGCGAGCTGGATAGTTCTGTACTTGGGTTTGCTTTCCTTATTGGACATAGTCGAGATGTGTCTTGTTGGCACATTGATGACATCGTATGAGATTTAGACGGTGGTTGATGTGGTTTATTGCCCGAGTAGCTTGTATTGGGAGAGACGAGATTGTTGGACCTGGAATCAGCACAAACAGATTTGTATAATGTATGTTTGGAGGGAGAATGCCACTAATCATTTCAGAATGCGGCAATGGTTCTTGTCGAATGGAATAACCCTATGGTTTATTGATTTGACAGGTGGTTATGAGAGTCTATACCTCTCTTTCATCGTTGGAGTATTGCAAGGTTTGAAACAATATTTTTATGTGTCATGAGGTATATTATCGGTATCGGGTTCAAAAACTACAACTAGTGTAGTTGGAAGATAATACTGTGGGCATATGGATTATAGGGTGCGTCGTGTGTTTACAACTTGGGTGTATATGTATGTTTTGGTACACTTGTGGAGATTAATACAGTGTATGTATGCAAGAAATTGGATACTATAGGAAATTTCGGATGTTGGAATCTGGTTCTATGGCTTGTGGGCTAAGGTAGCATGAAGGATCTTCCATCTGGGTTAAGCTAATGTGCTCATATGGATTGTGATGGAACTAGTAGGTGCACAAAGAGTTATACAGTGATTTCAGCAACTTTGGAACGGTTCTTGGCATGTTCGAGGATGAACATATATTTAACTAGGGGAGAATATAACAACCCGACCGGTCATTTTGAGCTCTAACATGTCGTTCGGTAGTTTGAGTCCTTGAGTAGCTTCACTTTATATATCATGACTTGTATGTGAAGTTGGTTTTGCTTTTCGAGAAGTTTGTGTTGATTTGGAAGAGTAATTCTCATTTCGGAAGCCTTAATTTGGAAAAGCTGACCATGGTTTGACTTTTGAGTAAACAACCTCGTAATATGGATTTCAAAGTTCTTATAGGTTCGTAAGGTGATTTCGGACTTGGTCGTATGTTTGGGTTGAGTATCGGATGGTCTAGGAGCGATTCAACGCTTATTATCAAAAGTTTCATTTTGAAGGTTTGGAAATTTGCTAAGTTTGGCTTAAAGTATGCTTTGGTGTTATCGGGCTTCGGGCGGTGTTCTGGGACCTTGGATAGGTTCATTCACTTGATTGAAACTTGTGCGTAAAGTTTGGTCATGATTCAGAATGTCTAAGTGTGATTCGGACGCGCTCAACGAATTTTGAAGGTTTGAAAGGAAAAAGAAGGGTTTGATCAACAATTCCTGGTTTTGATGTTATTCGTGGCATTTCGAGCCTTTGGATAAGTTTGGATAAGGTATTGGGACTAGTTGGTATGATCGGATGGGGTCCCGACGGCCTTGAGTGTGCTTCCGAGTGATTTCGGACCCTTTCTCCTTGTTTTGCAACAACTGGTTTCTGGTATTTTGGGTATGGATCGCTATCACGAAGAGTGAGATGGATCCGGGAAGGATTTGTCCATTGCAATTGTGGTTGGAAGTTTGCGATCGCGATAGGGAATTTGCTGGGGCTGAAGGTTGGCCTTCGCATTCGCGGAGCAGGGCTCGTGTTCGCATAGGCTTGGCAGGCGCGGTTTTTGGGCAATTTTGAAGAGCCATTTTCATCATCTATCATAAGGTAAGTGATTCCCACTTGTTGTGAGTTAAATACATGGATTATATATGGATTTTAACATGGAATTTGGTAGAAATTATGGAATTTTTGGAAGAAAACCTAGAAATGGTATTTTTTATTTTGACCATGAAATTGGGCATGGAATTGGCAATAAATTATATATTTGAGTTCGTGGTGCTATGGGTAATATTTATCTTCAAATATTTTCAGAATTCGGGTGCGTGAGCCCGGGATTGACTTTGTTGACTTTTCATGTAGAGTTGGGAATTGTTTTTAATTGTTAAATTACGAGTCTTTGGGTATATTTTGATGGGTATGCACGTTCTTTGACTAGTTTCGGATCATTTGGTATTGGTGAGAGGTGTTAGAGTGGCGTTGGAGCCAGTTATCAAATTTTGGAGCAAGGTAAGTCTCCTGTCTAACCTTGGGGG